GTAGGGTTTAGGGGTTTGTAGGGTTTGTAGGGTTTGTAGGGTTTAGGGGTTTGGGGTTTGTAGGGTTTAGGGTTTAGGGGTTTAGGGTTTAGGGTTTAGGGTTTAGGGGTTTGGGGTTTGTAGGGTTTGTAGGGTTTAGGGTTCATATGTCCTTAAGAAGGCAGCTTATTTTCGGTTAATTAAGGTAGACTCTAGCCCCAAGCCCTAGATAGATACACGGGAAGTCGTCACGCGCACGCAGACAAGCAGGCACTCAAAACCCTAGACCTACGAATGTAGTACCTCCTTGTGGAAAGTACTGCGTTGTGGGGTCTACCTTAACCGCAAATAAGCTGCCTTCTTAAGGACATATGAACCCTAAACCCTACAAACCGTAAACCCCTAAACCCTAAACCCCTAAACCCTAAACCCTAAACCCTTCAGGACACATACAATGAAATCATAACAAGGAACCCTAAACAGGTAGGTCTTTCTAGGGTCTGCGCTATGACACATCACTGGGTCGTATGGGCTTGGGTTGAGCAGCTGTCGTCTCCCCTGTCTCCTGCAGCCACGGTGTAATGTAGGGGCCTTAATAATTAGAATAGGGTTTTGGGGCCCAATATACTATAAGTATACAAAGGAACCCCCCCCCAAAAAAAAATAGTATAGGTAATTATTAAGGCCCCTATGTTGGGGTTTACAGGTTGAGGGTTTGGGTTTAGGCTTGACGGCCTAAACTTTAAGCCCTAATCCCTGATCTGACGCCTTCAGACCAAGCCCGTTAAACCCTAAACCCTAAACCCTAAATAAACCCTAAATAAACCCTAAACCCTAAATAAACCTTAAACCCTAAACCCTAAACCCTAAACCCTAAACCTTAAACCTTAACTCCCCAGACCTCAAAACCCAAAACGCAAGACCCTCTACCCCGACCTATAGAGCCCTCAGAGAAGCCTTATAAGCCTTAAAAGAGCCTTCCGGCAAGGCCCCAAAGCCGGAATAACAGCTTTAAGCCCTCATCAAACCCCGAAGGAGCGTTTGAAGAAGTCTGATTTAACAAAAATTGCAGGATACAGCGGGGAAGTCTGTCCTGGTCGGATCCAAAGCGGTCCTGTTGCGAATGGCAAGCAGACTAGCTCAGCGTGCCGGCAGTTGCCGAGGACGGGCGAGCACATATTTAGGCCTCGGGCGCCTATGCGTGTCAGGGGTACATTTCAGGGTTAGGATTCAGGAAGAACATGTTAGGGCTTAGGGTTTCGGGTTCAGGGTTTTCGGTTTCTGGCTCAGGGTTCAGGGTTTAGGGATTTGGCATTATAATAGAGTATAACATCAAGAGTACTAGGCCTACTGTAAGGAACCCTACATTGTAGCACAAGGCTGCTCACTCTAAGGCCGACCATTTGAACCCCAAGATCGTATTATGAAGACACGTTTATGCAATGCATCAGATTGCACTTTGATCCTGTGATAGTCGGGTATGACAGCAGCACGACATGTGGACTTTCAGCCTATGCTCTTTGACCCCAAACTCTTCAACCCCTAAGCCCTAAACCCTTCAACCCCGAAGCCTTAAATCCCGAAGCCCTAAACCCGAAACCCAAATCCCCTAAACCCTAAA